ATAAATGGAATTGTGGAACTAGCTCTAATTCCTTTATCGTTATTCGAGGATAGAAATTTCGAGTAAGAGATTTATTTTAATGGGGGTCGAATGTAATACCCTAAAAAATTTAAAATATATGATGTTGATACACAAAACCGGAGGTCTTAGAACAACGTAAATCCGACCGTGAATTTGCAAGAAATGTAAATAACACATGATGTATTGTGGTTCATCCCAAGGTTTGGGCTACGTCTACACTGATTATGTATTTATCTGAGGGAGAGAGAGCTCTGAGAGTGAGAGCTTTGAGAGGGGGTGAGGAGCCTTAGGAATTGGCCTCCCTTAATTGTGAGGGTGAGGGGTCCTTTTATAGAATAAGGACTCCTCACTTATTACGTATTTGCCCCTTCCTTTATCACATAATTACCGAAGGTCTTGGAACAACATAAATCCGACCGTGAATCTGCAAGAAATGTAAATAACACAAGATGTATCGTGGTTCACCCCAAGGTTTGGGCTACGTCCACATTGATTATGTAATTATCTGAGGGAGAGAGAGCTATGAGAGTGAGAGCTTTGAGAGGGGGAGAGGAGCCTTATGAATTGGCCTCCCCTAATTGTGAGGGTGATGGGTCCTTTTATAGAATAAGAACTCCTCACTTATTACATATTTGCCCCTTCCTTTATCACATAATTACATTTAAGTCCCCCGAGTATTTGTATGAGATCTAAATACGAGGCCCTAAATATGGTATAAACAGTAGTCCCCCAAGTCTTCAGTCAAGAGAGTTTTTTGGCTGGAGACTTGAAATTCAGTCCATGTGTGGGCCGAAGTAACTAGATGTTGTCTTAAATTGATGTTCGATATGAGGCGGTGCTCAATCTGAAATGATGCTCAACTAGAAGTAGCACATGTTGCGAGGCTGCTCGGCTTTTGTCTTATGTTGCCTTGGTTGGCTCGGCTTGCGGCGCTTGAAGGTGAGGAGGTCCCTTTTATAAAATAAGGGCTCGCTCCTCAATACATAAATGATGGGCTAGAGTTGATGGTCGCGGTGAGGCGGTTGCTCAGCTAGCGGCGTTGCTCTCTAATGAAGGTAAGGGGGTCCCTTTTATTAAACTAAGGGCTCGCTCCTCAATACATAAATAATGGGCTAAGTCCCCCAAGTATTTTTCATGAGGCCCAGTTGAGGCTCAATATATGGTACATAATGTAGTCCCCCAAGTCTTCGGTCAATAAAGTCTGTTGGCTGGAGACTTTAAATTAAATCCATGTATGGGCCAAAGTGGCGGTTGTTCGGAGGTGGTATTTGTATACCCTACACTGAAGCTTTGTAGGTGAAGCTTTGCAAGTGAAGCTTTGAAGCTAGAGCTCTATAAATGAAGCTTTTGAAGCTGGAGCTCTGTAAATGAAGCTTTTGAAGCTAGAGATTTTGTAAGTGAAGCTTTTGAAGCTAAAGCTCTGTAAATGAAGCTTTCGAAGCTGGAGCTCTGTAAATGAAGCTTTTGAAGCTAGAGCTTTTGTAAATGAAGCTTTTGAAGCTAGAGCTTTTGTAAATGAAGCTTTTGAAGCTGATTGACATGAGTGATGCTCATGGATGTTGACATGAGTGATGCTCATGAATGTTTATGTATGATTGACTTCACTACTTTGAAGTTGTTTATCTCACAAAGAAGAATGTAACACATCGGAATTGATAGGCAAGAGAAAGAAAGAACACTCTTACACAACAAATTTATTCACTCACAAACTAGTACAAGAGGCAACACTCAAACACTCTTAGAAGCTTTGTTGCTTCTTCTCACTTCTCACTTGGCACTCACTTTTCACTACTTGCTCTCTTGGTTGTTACATTACATAGCTTAGCACCTCAACTATTTATAGGCAAGATTTGCCAACTTTGACATTGCTAGAACTTTCTAGCTAATGCTTAACAACCACACAATTTTACAAGATTCTAGATCTTTCTACAAAAAGCCTTAGATATTTATGCATGCATTCCACCAACTTGAATTTGCTAGAACTCTCTAGCATGTGCATGGATCTTTCTTTGTGCATGAGTCGGATCAATTGTCTTAGACCAAGACAATATCACAATTCAACATCCCCCCTTAATCTTGTGAGGAGTGATTCTTCCCTCGCCATTGCTGCCACTGATAGGAGTATATTTATGCGACTGAGTTAGCTTGTTCTCATGCATTTATGTTGTTATTTCTTAGTTAATTATGTATTTTAAGCTATTTTCGTGTGTTTGTAAGTCCATAGGCCTTATGGAGCAATAAGATGCATTTTGGTGCATTTTGGAGCAGTTTTGGGCTTGGAATGAATAACACATGCATGGAGCAAAGTGGATGGACGAAATTGAAGACTAAAGAGGCTAGGAATGTGTTAAAGAGAAAGAAGAATTAATGTAAAAAGGACAAATAGCTCAGCCACAAAGGGGTGTCACTCCACCATTCACCTTTCCATCATTGCCTGGCACCACCATTGCACTCCCTTTGGATTCCTATGCCGTGCATCATCATCCATGTTCCCTCCATTGACTCATTTATTGCATCATTCCACCTCTCTTTCCTTTCTCTACCATGTGCACAATCATTCATGTTCCCTAGCTGCAACACCACTCCATTTTACCCCCATGTTTTGCATCATCACTTCACTTTCACCTTTGAATCATTTCAAACACCACTCATTGCACTCAATTGCTACACCATTCCTTGTTCCATCCATCATTTCAGATTTCATGCATCATTACATTGAATCATTGCACTAAATTGCTACACCATTCCTTGTTCCCTCCATCATTTCAGATTTCATGCATCATTGCACTCAATTGCTACACCACTCCATGTTCCCCTCCATTGCCATGCACTTCCTCTATAAAAGGAAATGTGTGTAACATAAATTTAGTTCATACTTTGTTAGATCATCCATTCCCATTTCAACACAACCTTCATCCAAACACATCCATTCATCTTCACATCCATTCCTCCATACAAACAAACCTTCAAACACTCACCAACACTTTGTGCCGTAGCAAAGGAAGGGAAGGAAAGTGCTTGGACGTGCTTGCTGTCCAACTTGGATCATTGGAGCGTTTAGGTGTTTTCTTTCTTTTGTTTCTAATGTTTAAATTCATTTCCTTTTGTTTTGTTGTAAATATGAGTGGCTAAACCCTTCTTGGCTAGGGGTGATTTCAAAGCCATGACTATGTGTGCAATATAATTTGATAAATTCCAGATATGAACTCTTAAATCGTGAATGCAATTGGCTTAACTATTTGATTGATAACTTATTTGTACTTGTTAATTAAGGGTCGACACTTAATTGACATGCATAAATCCGTTGCTAGAATATAAGGAAGTTTCACATAATCGTTACAAACTTATATTCACATGTAGTGAAGGTCGCTTATAAACAATCGCGTTAAGTTCAATTCCTAGCATGAGTGACATGATGTCATAGTTGCAAGTGCTTTGTCAATGCTTATGATTTTCATTAGGGAACTTTTGAAGAATGTTTTGAGTTGTCGAATGATGTCATCCAATCCAATAAAACAAGGAAAATCTGAGAATTAACTAGTGATGTCACGGTTAATTTGGGGCATTGTCATTCATAATTCAATGAAGTAGTAACTGGAAATCGAGTTATTTGCATACATGTCAAGTGTGGAGAAAAAGCCTCTAGCTATCCCATCCATCATCTTATTTCTCACATTTGTTTTACAATCTGTCTAGTTTTTCATATTTGGTTGTTTGTTTCAACTTCATCCAAATCAAAACCCCCTTTTAGTTTCTTGTTTCAAAGTATTTCAAATCTGTTTTAGTTTGTGTTTTTAAGTGTTTTGATTCAAGTAAAAGTCAATTTTCGTCCAAAGTCATTCCTAGTGTCTAGTTTAAGTTTATTTGGTTGTTTTAAGCTGTTTTGAGTATTTTAAGTTTGCTTTGAGTCTTGTGAGTCTTGTTAAGTGTTTTTAAGTTTAGTTTTATGTTTTTGTGTCAGTTTAGAGGTTATTAGCAAGCCCTCCTAATCCCCGGTCCAGAACAATCCCTACTTATACTTGTATTGCAATTGTCAAAAGAGGGTTAAATTTGTGTGTTAAGATAATTTTCACATCAGCCACTAAGGAGCCTAGAAGGGACCTCCCAGAGTACAGGCTGATGGTAGAGGATGTGCTGCAGGAGGTAGCTTCTTTTGTACACATTGAGTTTGTGTATGCTTCAAGAACTTGTAATGGCCTTGCCCATCAAATTGCTCAGGTTGCCACTGCTATTAGCAATGAACTAGTTTGGTTCAAGGAACCTTCTGACTTTATTTAGGACCTTCTTGTTCAAGACATGATGTAGTATCTACTATTTCAATAAAATATCGATGTTTCATTAAAAAATAACATAGAATCTTTATATTTATTGACTGAAATCTTTATGTTTCATAATTCTTGGTTACAACAAGAAAATAGATATATACAATAAAGAAAGGAGAAATATGTCATTGTGCCCGAAACATGTGTCATTATATTAGTGAAAGAAAGTTTTATTTTTAAGTTGTTAATTTTTCAACAAAATTATCATTTCATTTGAATAACGATACGTAATATACTATCCGTATTCTGAACACATTGAAAATTCTCTCCAAAAATTGTATCATCATCACTCCACAATTTCCCATCAGAACTTAACAACTAGTCTGTCATTGACAAAAAGTACCCACCATGTTATGCTAGCCGTTGTCAAACTTGTTCCCGTTACCCAAATCTGAAAATATCAGCATAACTAGGAGATCCAGGAAGAAGAGCACAAATAATAAAACAAAACAAACCCAATAAATTAATAATTAAAAAATAAAAAAATAAAAAAGTAAAATGTAATCGACATTGAATTTTTTTTAAATATTTTTTATTTTAAAGAACGGTAATATATACACTAATAAAAGAATGTGAGTTTAACTTTACAATGTATTATTAATAATTTGTTCAAATTCTTTTTTAATTTCTCAATTATAAATAAAGAAGAATAATATGCCAAACCCACAACATGACATACCTTCCTTCCAAGACATTCAAAGCACCTCCATAGCTAAAAGGAGTAGACCTCAAGAATTCTCTCTCCCACTCTGAATTTCTGCTTCCACGAAAGATTGAAACTTTCAGTTCGATTCCATTTGCAAACAAGCAACAATCAGAACGAAGAGAAATAATATGCTAGAAATGGACGACGGCACTTCGAAGCCTCCACAAATCTCCGAAATGTTTCAGAAATTCGCTCTGGCTTTCAAGGCCAAAACTTTCGAGTTCTTCGCCGAGGAGGAAGCCGACGACGCCGACAGCTTCGCGCTACTGGATTCTGCCGAAGAGGTCATCACGGACCAGAAGGTCGTCGTCATCAAACCGGACACGGCGGCGGCGAACGGCAACGCTCCGGAGATAGAATTAAAGCAGGAGAAGCCGAATTCGAGCGAGAACCAGGTGAAGAAACCGGAGGTTTTGGCAGTTTCAAGGCCTTTGAGGCGGACTCGGATCCGACCCATGAATACCCAGATGACCCAGACTCTGATTTCATCGATTTTTGCCACGGTTTCGTCGTTTGAAGCTTCGTATCTGCAATTGCAGACTGCCCATGTGCCGTTTGTGGAAGAAAATGTGACGGCAGCTGATCGAGCTCTGGTCTCTCACCTCCAGAGGCTCTCAGAATTCAAGCAGTTTTACAGAGATTTTTGTACGAGTTCTGATTCGGGTTCTGATTTGCCAATTGGGTCCTGCTTGGAAGCTCAGGTACAGGATAATCAGAGCAAGCTCAGGACTTTGGGAACAATGTCGAACAGGTTGCAGACAGAGATAGATCAAAAGGACAATGAAGTTACGGCCCTGCGGAAAAAATTGGGTGAGATTCAAAAGTCTAATGTGAAATTGTCTAAGAGGTTATCTGCTACTTTGAATTCTTCTTGTGATGTTTTGTTGTCCGTTAGAGTTTTCGATTCGGTTTTGCATGATGCTTGTAGATTAACACACAGATTTACAAAGATTTTGATAACTTTGATGGAGAAAGCTGGGTGGGATTTAGATTTGGCTGCTAATTTGGTTCATCCGGATGTTGATTACGTTAAAAGAGCGCATAACCAGTATGCTTTCTTGTCGTATGTTTGTTTGGGAATGTTCAAAGGTTTCGATTTGAAAGGTTTTGGTTTAGATGAGGAAGAAATTTCGTGTAATGGGCATGGTACGGATGTGGATAAGAAGAATGGTTCCTTGAAGCAGTTGCTTGAGCATGCGTCTAGCAATCCAATGGAGTTGTTAAGTAGGAATCAAAATTGTGAATTTTCAAGATTTTGTGAGAGCAAGTATCAAGAGATTATCCACCCCACTATGGAATCTTCAATCTTTAGTAATTTGGATCGAAACCAAGTTGTGTTGAGTTCATGGAGGTCTTTGAGTGTATTCTATGAGTCATTCGTTAGCATGGCGAGCTCGATATGGATGCTCCAAAAGTTGGCGTATTCCTTTGATCCAGCAGTTGAGATATTCCAAGTGGAAAGAGGTGTTGATTTTTCGATGGTTTATATGGAAGATGTCACTAGGAGAATGTTATTGCCTTGTAAAGCCAGGATGAAAGTTGGTTTTACAGTGGTTCCGGGTTTTAAGATTGGAAGGACAGTAATTCAATCCCAGGTATATTTAAGTGGCTTGAAATGTACAGAGTAGTCGCAAGGCATGTCCTGCTGTTTACGACAATGATATAGGCAAGACAGGAGGTGATCAGGATTAGGCTGTTGATCTTACATGCTTGGATTGTCGGATGGAATTCAACGTATGTAAGTTGGAGGTAAATTGAAGGATGTATCCGTTACAATGCTCAGGACGGAAACACTGTGTAATATGCATTCAATGAAGATGCTGTTGCCTTATATGATGCTGGACTTCTTTCCACAGATATATGTTACCTGGTTTGTGACTTTGATTTTTCTTTGTATATGGTTTTCTATGTAGAATCAACTGTATAGAGCCTTTGTCTCCTCTTCTTTGCGCTAATTCCGACACAAATCGAATGACAAGTTGTGAACCCTAATTCCTAATTAGTTCTGGTATTATTGGGGAAAAATGAAGAACTTCCTGACATTTCAATTACAATGTTATCTCACAAATACATTATCTTGTTCCCTGAAAGTTATGTCATTTAGGTATATACTTTTGCAATGTGAATGTAAGCATAATTGTGCTTTTCTTTTTCTTTTGCATGGTCTAATGAATGTTGTATATCCACCCCTAGGAGAGAAACTCGCCTGCCACGGTTTCATTACCCCCTTCTCTCTATCTCATCATGTGTTACTGGTTTCTTTGCACATTTCTCTCTCTATCTCCTCGTGTGGTAGGACAAAGAGAAGGGGGCAATGAAACCTCACGTGGTAGGACAAAGAGAAAGGGGCAATGAAACCGTGACATGCAAATCTTTCTCCGGGGCCAGAACTTCTGAATTTTGATTTGGCGTGCTAAAAGGCCAACCAAACGGGTGCCGTAGAAAGTTTCTTTTGATTGATTTTGAATTCTGGTCATGGCTCACAAAGTTGTTACCTAGACAAACAATCTCCATCGGACCATTGGATAGGATTCTTTGGATAAAAAAACTTCAAGTTATATTTTGGCCAAATCGGATAAATGATCTATGAGATCATAAGGTATTTGGAAGATAGTCCATATACTTAAAAAACTCGGATTTAAACTCCTGTGATGTAGTCCGTTAGCAAATTTAGTCCAAAAATAATTTTTTTGTTAACTATCTGTTAATACATGGGTAAAATTATACTTTGACTTGTGTACTCTTATTCAACACCCAGCTGTCGGATTCATCAGTCATTTCTCCATCAGCAAGTTCATGCATCCAACCCGACCCCCTCCCTACCACTATATATACCCTGCTCCCCACTCGCCGCTCCGTCCACCTCACTCCCACCACAACTCACAATTTCATACCCCTAGGATTTCTCAATCTACACCTCGAAACGCACCATTTCACCATGCCTTGTTCCGATTCCTCCGTTTCCGTAATTTCGCAATGCACAATTTACCTCGGCGTCGGTTTCGTGCACGCCAAAACCAATAACCTCTCTCTGGAGGCCGTTCTGCAGCCCAACGCCGACGTTCCACATTGCTTCAGGGAGTTCTTCGCGTATGAAAGGACTTTGAGCTACTCCGGCCACTTCAGACCTCTAGCCGCCGTACAGGTCACCGAGCTTGCCGACGCCGTGTTCATCGGATGTACGGTCAACCACTGTGTCGTCGACGGCACATCCTTCTGGATTCGCCGAGATTAACCGAGGCGCCAAGAAAATCTCAAAATCTCCTGATTTTTCCCGCGACACCGTCTTCAACTCGCCGGCGGTGCTCCATTTCCCAGAAGGCGGCCCTAAGGTCACCTTCTCCGGCAACGATCCGTTGCGTGAGAGAATCTTCCATTTTACCAGAGAATCAATTCTCAAATTGAAAAACAGAGCAAAAAACTTTTGGACTAAACCACTTTTTGACACGTTAAAGTACAATTTTACCTATATATTAACAGATAGTTAATGGAAAAATCATGTTTGGACTAAATTTGGTAACGGAGTACACCACAAGGGTTTAAATCCGAGTTTTTTTAGCATATGAGCTATCTTCCGAGTACCACAGACATCATTTATCCGATTTGGCCTTATATTTTTATATAGATTTTCTCTTTCCCCATATTGGCACATGGTTAGAATTGAAAATTTTGAACTTCACTCGATTTTAACTTGGGAGTTTAATTAGAGAAAATAGGCAGAAAAAAATGGACTAGGGTACTTTGAGTGAGACAAATTAAAAGGAGAAAGTACGTCATAAACAAAAAGTGTATTACATACATTTTATAGTTATTTCGTTTTTAATTTTTACTTATAGGAGAAAAAAAGTTTAAATTAGAAGTTCGAGGAATAATAGAGACCTAATTGATTGAACAATCGGTCTCTCTCAAACCCTAGTGCGTTGCTCCCCCTCTCCCAAACCCAGAGCCTCAAAATCAATCTCACCTTCAGCCGCCGGCCTTTCCTCTTGGGTGGGGTTGGTAGCAACCCCATTTCCTTCTCCCTTTTTCCCCTTCTCCTTTTCTAAACCCTTTTGCTTTTTTTTTTTTTTTTTGCCCTTGTTTTCCGGTTGTTTTGCTTTGAGCCCGTCTCATTTTCTTAGAGCTTAGTCTCAATTTCCTAGAGCTTTGTCTCAATGTTTCGTAATCTTGTTGCAGATATGAGTTTCTTGTTTTTTTCTTCCTAAATTGATGTTCCTAGCCTTGAGCTTCTGCCCACTTGGTTCGGCTATTCGACTCCTCGAGTTCTTCTTCCATGGACTTCAGTTAGAGGTGCTTTGGGTTTTGATGGCGGCTAAAGTGCAATTCGCATTATTTGATAGGATTATGGGAGTGCTTTTTGCATAAGTGGCTTCCCCTCCCCTATTTTCCATCCATTCTTTTGTTGGTTCTTCTTATCAGTGGTGGCAGCTTGGCGATGGTAGTGCGGCTATTTTGGTTGAAGCGATTGATTCTCTTTTACAGATCTAGGGTTTTTGGTTTAGGCTTTATTTTGGACTCACTTTTGGGGCTTGTTTCCTTTACTTTCGTAATAAGCTGCACTTTTACTGTGTTGTGGATTGTCTTTGGACTAACCTCACTTTGTATGAGCGTGTTTTAATTTTACTGAAATTAGGTTTGACCCAAAAAAAAAAAAGTTGGAGGAATAAAATAAAGGCAAAATATCTAAAATGGTCCCTGAGATTTGCATAATCAATAAAAATTGTCCCTGAGATTCAAAATCAATAGAAATAGTCCCTGAGATTGTCCACCATCCATGATTTTGGTTATTCTGCTAAAAACTCTTTGGGCAATTTTCAAAGCTTCGTAACTAAATCAATTCTTAACCAAATTCAAACCATAATATATCAAAATGAAGATAGGAAAGTGTAGAACAAGATTATACCTATTTGGAAGCCCAATGGTTGCCGGAGATGGCCTGAAAATAGCATGAAAAATGACTGGTTGGCGGGAAAACTGAAAAACTTGTCGGAAACTGGGTAAACTTTAAACGTTCATAACTTCTTCAATACTCAACGATATCGAGTAATTCAAAGATGAAAATCATACTTCTCGATGAGATGAAGATAATGGTACCTTTTTTGGGAGGCTATGTTCCAAAAGTTCCTCAACTCATTAGTCATACGCCCTAAAACTAAAACCATATAGACCCTTAATTTGTGTTAAAATTTCCAAACATAATCAGTAAAAACTGATTATGTTCAGGCTATGTTCATGCCTTGTGGTTGTGGCACTAATAACTAAGGCTGGAAAAAAATCCCAAACCAAACTGAAAAAATCTCAAATCCAAACCAAAATTCCCGAAATTTTCGGGATATAATCCCAAACCAAACCGAAAGTTTCGGTATGGGATTCGGTTTTGCATTTCATTTTTTTGGTATTCCTATACCGAACCAAAAAAAAAAAAAAAATATATATATATATATATATTATTTTTTAATTATAAGAAAATTATTTGAACCGTTCATTGTTTTAGATTTAATCTGTGTCGTTGATTTGTTTTAGGTCTGATCTTATTACTTCACTTCACTTCACTTCCGTCTCCATTTGTTCTATCGAACTAGAATCGAAGCGAAAGCGCTGTGCAGCCCCTGTCCGGTTGTCCCTGCTTGAGCCTCCCTCACTGATCCCTCATCTCCGGTCCTTGAGCCTCCATCACCACACCATACTAAAGTCTCTCTCTGACTCTCCACTCCAGCCTTCCTTCACCACACAGCCACCGGCCGACCGCTACACTATCATTTTCTCTCTCGATCTGTTATCTCCTCGGAGGCAAAATCCGAAGACCCAATCACAGGCATGCTTTCATCAAGGTTGGTGCTTTCTTGATTTTTGAGGCATTTTATTTTCTGGGTTTGGTCGATTATGGCTTGATGCTGCTGCCTTACCATGAAAGTTAGCGGTTTTATGTGTGTATTGTATATTTTGGTTTTTGGTGGTTTCTGGAAATTATTAGGATGAATAGATTATGTTTTGATTGTGTAACGTTTCGTATGAATGTGTTTTTTACTTGGTTTTTTGGTGCATTTGTTTTTGTGTTCTGAATTTAAGGAAGATAACCTCGTACCTAAATGATTTGAGGAGCTGATGCTGGTTCTGAGAAGTGAGTATGTGTGTGTCTATCTGACTGTAAGGGTTGCACTGACACACAACTTAACATGCCTCCATAATCCGTGAGTCTTACCATTCGATATATCAATATCAATGTCTGTACATTATGTTGGCTTCTTTTGACATCTACATTATGTTGTTATATGTTATTTCCTTTGTGTTGTTTTCGATAACCTGGAGTTTGGAAAACTTGTGTCGTGTTTTGATCACCGTGTTGGATTTCCAATGGACACATGAAATGCGTAGTTAGATGTTGTAGTAGCTAAAACTAATCCAGATCATAAAATGGTAGCTGTGGCTGACGTGGTTTTTCTGATCAGGATTCATTTAAATAAGAGGATTTAAGTAGAGTTCGGGAGCCTGAGGATGATTCTGATGTTCTAATCGAGTGTAGAGACGTCTACAAATCATTTGGCGAGAAGCATATATTAAGAGGTGTGAGCTTCAAGGTGAATCTAGTTCATTTGATATTTAGTTGTTTTAAAAATTTATGTGCATTCTTAACTGTCGGTAGTAAAAATTTATTTACATATTGTTTATACCATACTTAGGACTTCCGTATTTAGATCTCGTACAAATACTCGGGGGACTTAAATGTAATTATGTGACAAAGGAAGGGGCAAATATGTAATAAGTGAGGAGTTATTCTATAAAAGGACCCCTCACCCTCATAATTAGAAGAGGCCAATTCCTAAGCCTCCTCACCCCCTCTCAAAGCTCTCACTCTCAGAGCACTCTCTCCCTCAATAAATACATAATTAGTGTGGACGTAGCCCAAACCTTGGGGTGAACCACGATACATCTTGTGTCATTTACATTTCTTGCAGTCACGGTCGGATTTACGTTGTTCCAAGACCTCCGGTTTTGTGCATCAACATTTGGCACCGTCTGTGGGAATCGACATAAAAAGTTATGTCGGTTCTCTTTCATTTTTTCATCTCACCACTGTCCACCGTGGATCTGCAAAACCAAGAGACATTTCTGCTCTCTG